TTATATTATAAAATATTGTACATATAATTTATAACTTTGATCTGTACACTTAAAGTTACCAGGAATAGATTTTATGGTATGTGTTTTGTTTCCAATATAAAACTCACTTGTTCTGTGAGAAAATTTTAGGCTTACCCACCATGTTTTTAAAATTAATTTTATTGGTACATTTTTTACATACATAATGATCACACTTATCATAGGAAACTTTTACCTCTATGTAATATATCTTAATTCTTTTTTTCCCCCTTCCCTTTCCTTCCCTTCCCTTCAATCCTTCCCCTCCCCATTTACAAAACTTTTGTTTCTATTGTTTTGCCTCCATTATTTTGGGGGGTAATAAGAACCAAAATGGAGAATAGATATTAGGAAGTCGAAAGAAACTGTTCAAAAGAGAAGGGGAAGAAGGGAAAGGGTAGGGAGAAGGGAAGGAAGAGCATAGGGATAAAAAAAAAATAGCAACCAAGTTTTGATCTAGGTTTTCTGGGACACCAACATCCTCAGCCTGTGAGTGGCATGTGTATATTTTACTACACAGTGCTATAAGCTGCTCTGCCATTGTATATTTATTACTATACTATACATTGTAATGTGTTGAATATTATTTTAACTGGTACCCACCCACCCTTATTATAGTCCTTTGCTTTGACCTGAGGTCTACAAAATGTTTCATTTGTACTACCTAAGGGGAATCAATTCAAAGACACATTGATGGAAAGAGAGTGATGTCTCTTCTAGTTATTAGAACTCCAGCGAATTGACAATAAGTAACTGCTATGGTCTGGGCGAGGCTTGGTTCCTAAGGGTTCATGTGATGAAGTGTGTCCCGAATGTGATAATGTTGATGTATTGGGAATCTAAGGAAGCAGAGCCTAAAGGAAGGTAATTAGGTTGTGGCATTTCCACCCTTATGAATGGATTAATGCTGGTCCCACTGGGGGGCTGTCTGGCAGGAGCAAATTAATTCTTGGGAGAGTGGCGCCTCCCTGAACTCTGGCTTCCTTCACATATGCCCCTTCTAAATATCACCAGTTTCCTTTTTTTTCACTGCGAAGCTGTGACGCAGCCAGGTGGCTCTCACCACAATGTCAGCACCATGCTGTTTGGACCAGAATCATGAGTCAAATAAATATCTTTATTAATAAAGTACTCAACCTCAAGTATTTTGTTATAGCAACAGAAAAGAGACTAAGACAGTAATATGGAAGAAATTATATTACTTAACAATATCAGTATAGTGTCATAAGTTCCCCAAGACTAGAATGAACTTTTTTTTCCAGGCTGTACATGAATTAGGTTTTGACAGCTAGTTCCTGATGATTAAACTACCTGCTGGGTTAACATGGCAGATGTTCTTTAAGTATGCCTCTCCATGGGTTTTCAATAGAAAGTGAGCAGCCAATAACTCTTTCAATGGGCATTGATAGATGAATAAACCAGTGGTTTATCTAGAATAGTTGATATCCTGTCAACTCCCTCTTCTCTACATAATAAAGTTATGTGCATTAATACTTTTTAGTAAGTAGTAATTTTTTTAGTTTTAAACCAATTAAATATATATTTCATTTTATACATTATTTAAATTTTGAAAAGATTTTATGTATAGTTTTGATAGCTATGCTAGGAGACAGGATTAGTCAACACCTGGAATTTGGTTTGAATATCATGCCATATACACATCAATAAAGTCTGAAAAGTGTTATCATTCATATGATTAAGTTTTCTTGGAAGAGCAGAGCAGGAATATGGTGGTGTGAAAGTGTCTTGAGGTAGCAGGGAGTGGATGCTGGGTGGGAATTTTATAGTTATTAGCAGATAGAAATGGATTAAATTTCTTATGCATGGGCAGGGGTCTGAATGATTTCAACTTTCAGCTGGTCCCAAAGGGACTAGTTTGATGTTCTTATAAACAAAAAACTTGAGTCTCCTATAAAGCTGTGTAAGAATGAGAAGAGAGGAAGCTGGAATTTAAAAGCTCTCAGCAGCTAGAAACTTTAAAATGGAATCAGTAACTGGTACAACAGTTTACAATTTGCCTCAATCAAATAAATATATTAGACATCCAACTTTGTACTTCCCAGAAATGCAGAGTACACGTGGTCACACAGAACAGCAGAATAGTATCAACTTAAGCTCTGTGCTCTTTGTTTATTTTGAATTTATTTAAAAGCTAAAATATACACTAGCATAGGGATTAGAGACATGAAGACTACTGAAAGCAAGTTAACACAATTCCACAACAAAAACAAACTCTTGAAACCAACTGCGCAGAGAGCTGAGTTGCCTGAGCCTGAATGCAACTGTATAACTGGGAATTTTCAGTTAAATTCCATGTAGAATATGATATAACTTTATTGAAGCATATGTCGTACAAATAAAACACTTTGATGTTTATGCCTTTATCACTCAAATTCGACAGTAATCAAAATAATGTAAAACTTAGACCAAGAAAATATGTCTTTAAGAGAGGAATAATTTGTCACTGATCCTGCTTAAAATTGCCTACATGTGATTGGTCTTCAGTTTGCTTTACAATTTTTAGACTCCTCACAAATACTAATCCCTCTTCTAACCTAGGCCAGGGTGACTCAGTGCAAGAGCTCTTCCCTTGCTACTCCCGTGGGGAGAAAATTGTTCACTTCACTGAGATAACCGTGCAGCAAATGGCATTGTAAACATACCGAAGAAAGAGTAACACATTGTTCACTGAATAGGTTGTGGTGGAAAGGATGGGGAAAACAGAAGGTGGGAGGCTAAGCATATATCTAAGCAGGAAAGAGGTCACCAATGGCAAAGGAGGTAATTAAAAATGGACTCTGAAATATAAAGTCATGCTTATCACCTTCATGATTATGTGGACACCAAGAGAACTTAGTAACTGTATCAACACGTGCTCATTTATCCCCAAATTTGTATTTAACACCACATGAGGAACCTTCGTGTATTACAAAATGATGGTTTATAATTCTAGATATAACTGGCTTATCTGTTGGCATCCCTCTTACCACTGAGTTATCTTAAAGCAGAAAATGTTCCTCTATTTGTATTATTTCTGATGCTTCTGATTCAAAAATCACAGGGAATTTCAGAGTCACCCCCATTCAACATAACTATTCAAGTGCTGTTTTGATCTCAGTAGTTTCTCTCTCAAGTTGTCAGTCTGGCTGATGGGGTTTCAACTTCTTCCTTCCACCTTTGGGATAAAACTGTAAAAGGAACATTTTTATGTGGTTACCCAAAACTGTCTATATAGTTCTAATCACCAAAGAAATTCCCAATTACTAAGTCAAGCTTGCCTTGGGAATATTGCTCAGTTATTCACTCAACAAACATCTACTTAACAGTATGTAAAACATTGTTGCAAGTGGTTTGGGGAGACAAAGATGAATCAAATGCAGGCCCTTTCTTCATCTGTCAAAATACAATTTTTGTCAAAAGAAGTGTTAACTTCACGCTGGTTTCCATATACTCAGGCAATTTGAACTGGGATATTCTGGTAGTCATGAAAATATGAGTCATTTACATAAACGGGTCATGAGAGCTTGAGCTAATAAGGACTTCAATAGATGTTGGTCCCCACAACAACCTATAGAACTGCAGTCAAACCGAAGAAACATCAAAATGAACAGGCGTTTACCCCTGGAAGCCAGTAAGGGTAAGCAATCCATTCCTCCAGTGATTAGAGATCAGCAATCATGCGCCACCAGGTCCCCAGACCCCTGGATGCTTACTCAGGTTTTGCCCATGCAAATTCCAGGACTTCAGAGTCAGAAAAGCTGAGGGAGCTGGGTGTGGTGGCACATGTCTGTAATCTCAACATTCAGGAGGCTGAGGTAGGAGGATCACCGTGAGTTCAAGGCCAGCCTGGGCCACACAGTGAGTTCAAGGGCAACATGGAATACATAGCAAGACACTGTCTCATGAAACAAACAAAAAGAAGAGAGAAAGGAGAAGGAGAAGGGAGAGAGGGGAGAAAAGAAGAAGAGGAAGAGGAGGAAGAGCAAGAAAAGGAAAGAAGAAAGAAAGAAGGAAGGAAGGAAAGAAAAAGAAAGAAAAGAAAGAAAGGAAGGAAGGAAGGAAAGAAAGAAAGAAAGAAAGAAAGAAAGAAAGAAAGAAAGAAAGAAAGAAAGAAAGAAAGAAAGAAAGAAAGAAAGGAAGGGAGAGGGAGAGAGAGAGAGGAAGGAAGGAAGAAAGGAAGGAAGGCAGAGGCTGGGAGAATCATATCGTAACCTAGCTGTTCAGCGGCTGAGAGCCAGGTATAAACCTTCAGTACCAATGTGTTTGTCTGAAAGTGAGAATCACACCTCATACTTCCCACAAGTAACAAAGGGAAACTTAAAAATGACTGTATAAGTAGCCAAGATGATAGCAGTATACAGTAGGCACTTGCTCTAGTAATCACTTGTGAAATTAATAGACAACTCTTATTTTATGAAATGAATGTCCAACTCGGTAAACTATATAAAACAGATTACCCTTATGCTCTGCCATGTTAAAAGGTGGCTTTTAAGAGAAATCCTCCCATTAAATGATACTTTTAAATACACAAATTAGGGCCGGGGATTTAGCTCAGTGGTTTCGCTGCCTGCTGCACAAGCGCAAGGACCCAGTTCGATCCCCGGTACCAAATAAATAAATAAATAAATAAATAAATAAATAAATAAATACACAAATTAGACAGCATAGTCTATTTATTTCTTTGAAAATTAAAGGACTACAGAAAGTTTTTCTCACATGCCTGTAGGGTGACTAGCCCTATCAGTTTATCTATAAGGTATGTATGACATAACCTTAGGCAAGGTATTATTCAAAACATTTTAATGTTAGCTTCACAAAATTGACTGGAATATGGAGCACATAAATAAAGAGGATTCTAAAAGAGAACAGAACTGCCTCTTGCCTTTGCATTGCCGCTTCTTGCTATGCAGCTGGCCACCCACCGGAGCAATTAGGTAAGGTGGCACTCTGCCCTTGAAGAGACCATTATATTGCTTGGATATAATACTTTCATTTTCCCTTTGTACAACAGGGGGCGATCTTGTGCTTTATTTTCTTCCATCTCATGCAAGGAAATACAACGTAATTTCCATCTCTTAAAAGCATTCATCTGGGGCTAGAGGTCCCATTTGACCGAGCTATTCCCCTGCTGGGTATCTTCCCCAAAGAATTAAAAGCATCAGACCACAGCGACATATGTGCACCCATGTTTATAGCGGCACACTTCGTAATAGCGAAAGCTTGGCAACAGCCCAAATGCCCATCAACTGGAAACTGGATAAAGAAGATGTGGGGTTTTTTTATAAAATGAGTACTACTCAGCCATAAAGAACGAGAAACTAGAGACATTTATAGCTAAATGGATGCATATTGAGGCCATCCTCTTAAATGAAATAAATAGGAAACACATGTGTAAATACCGAATAGTTTCTCTTGTGTGAGGAACTGAAAGTGTAATTAAGGATTAAAATGATTAAAATGAATAATTGATAATTTGAAACAGGAAAAGGTCCAAAGGTGTATGGGTAGTGGGAAGGGGAGGGGAAAGGAAAGAAGGGAAAGGAAAAATTATGAGAGAAAAACAATGGAAACAAAGTCTATGTAAATAGGGAAGGGTGGAGGGGGTGAAGGGTGCACAGGTAATGGGGGAAAAAATAAGAGCTAAGATACATCATGTACAGGTACAAATACTCAATGATAAATGTAAATGTAGTGTATACCTAAAATGTACCACTAAAAGAGTTTTTAAAATAAGCATTAATCTGAAAACAAATCAAAATGAGGAATAATGGCCCTAAGCAAACATGTGCTAATCTTTGAAACTGACTTTGAAATAAATAAAATAGACTTTGATTGGTAATATCCTTTTCACCATTTTTCCATAGAGAAAAATATACATTGCCTGAATTAAAAATCAAATAGGTATAAAAATTAAAAATCTATGTTATTTATAAGATATTATGATTTTAAGGAAAAATCATGCTTTTATTATTTTCTTTTACACAAAATCCACAGGAATTTTAACGTGTAGACTGTTCGAGAGAAAGTAATAAAAGTTTATTAAATCTTATTAACACACCCGGCTCTCTATTTGACACTCAGCTGCTTCTGACCCACAGTGTTTCTCAGGCATAAAAAGAGATCCAGCGAAGATCTTGAATTTGGGCAGATCCTCCTGATGTGGCTCCTGCGTGCATGGCCGGAGAGGATCCCATCTGGCCCTCAATCCTGCCGGGGGGTGAAAGTTGTCCCCAAAGCTCACGGTGAAATTTATCTGCCATTGTGACACCTTTAGGTGATGATGAGGTCATGAGGACTCCATCTTCATAAATGGTTTGAGGCCATTGTCCTGGGAGTGGGTTGGTTCTAGCGGGGCAGGTTAATGATGGCCTGGGTGGGTTAGTTATCATGGGAATAGGTAAGTGATGGAGGGAGTGGGTTCTTACAAAGCTGGTTTGGCTTCCTCAGCTTCCTCTTGCTCTCTTCCTGTGGGATGTACTCTTCCCGATTATGATGCAGCATCAAGACCTTCACTAGATGCCAGTGCCATGCTCTCAGGCAGCTCAGACACCAGAACAAAGAGCCAAGCAAATGTCTTTATTTTATCAATTTCCCAGTATGTGGTGCTCTGTAGTAGCTCCACAAAATGGATGAGGAGAGCCCTGTGTCCCCACCTGGTGGGGCCAGAAGGCAGGGCTGTGCCCTGACCTTGCAGAACACACGAACTCAATTTAAAGCCTTTTATGAGACCACAGAGAGTCCTGCAAGGGATTAGAGTGAAAGTTGGTGATGCAAAAAACATTTCCAACATAAGGGACTGAGCACTACAGATTTCTGTAGGGAACAGGGAAAGGGGATGTTACTAGAACCTCTGCAGTAAGTCCTAGTCTCCTGCGAGCCACGGCAGCACGAGGCAAAATACAGGAAAGATAGAAAAATGAGACTGAGAAGAAGCTGACCTTTGGGTCTGAACAGTGCTGCTCTGGGCGGCAAAGACGAAAGCCCCGAGCTTACTGCACCTTTTATTCAGTACATGGGGAGAAACAGATGTAACAAATGACTTGCAGAGAGTTCAGTACATCCATGTAAACAAGAGGTAACAATTCAAGAACAAGGGGGAACTGAGTAGATGTTTGTTCCTCCCAGGATGTCTTCAGCTGGTGTAATCTTGTCCTGGAGAATCACAGCATCACTGGATCACTGAGGTCGCAGTTGTGACCAGAGGCCAAAATGGAATTATGTCTCAGAATGCCATAGCTGGGCTGTAGGCAGAACTAGGCTAACCAAATGATTTTACCCTAAAATTATGTAGCATTGCTCCCGACAGATTTCCATTTATAAATATTGCCATCTCTTTCCCCTCCTCAATAAGGAATTATCAGAAGATGCTTTTGCACTACTCAGCTCTATACTGTCTTGCTGAGGAAGTTTGACTTTCAAGTTAAAATCTTCATGCATATCTGTTTCCAATGGAGTCTAGATTATTGGTTATGAACAAAGCCAATGAGGGCCTGGGATTTAGATCAGTAGTTCCGGTGCCTGCCTCATAAGCACAAGGTCCCAAGTTCGATCCCCAGTACCAAAAAAAAAAAACCCAAAAAAGGCAACGATTTGGCATCTAGTTTGGAAAATGTTGAAGGAACCCTCTGATAGTAATCATCTCCATTTGGAGCTGGACCCATGATGCTCGCAGATTCCGTGTGACAGCTACTGCTTTCTGGTGCAGCGCAGGGATCAACGGTCCTGTTGCCAGCTCACAACACAGAGCCAAGTTCCCCAGGCACCCGATGTGACTTTCCGGCATCACCAGGGAGTGCAATGGGAACAGAATTCACTGGTGCAGTGGTCAAAGGAAGTTTCTGCATTACAGACAGTGCGAGAGCTGAACATGTCCCCCTAGTGAGCTGGGAGATTGTTCAAGAGGATGAGGGTACACACAGGTGCACCCCACATTAGTATATCAAATTCACAGGGCTATAGCGAGTTCAGAAACAAGACGGCTATAAGAGATTAAAGACTCTCACATCAAAAATTAATTTTAGAGGGCCAGGGATGTAGCTCAGCATCACAGCGCCTGACTGGCAAGCACAAGGTCCTGAGTTCGATCTCTGCTACCAAAAAAAATTAATTTTAGAATACCAAAAAGATTGCATGTTATATCAAATATGCCCTTTGAGTCTGAGCACATAGGTGCCAAAATATTTATAAA